AAAAAAAAAAAAAAAAAAAAAAACACACATCATAGTAAAACCAATACCTTCTCAGCTTCGCATCGAAGCTAAAATTGAAGGCTAAAATATTATAAACATACTTAAGCAAATGAATATTGTTCTTATAATATATCTTTATTATTCCAATTAATATTCAGTTTTTAGTCATTTCCTAACAATTGTAAAAAGTGGACGTGTCCGCTTTCTGCAGTTAGCGATTCATTTATAATACGAAATGTACTTACCCACGCTATTAACTAGTGATGGGAAATATCAAATAGTAACTATCGAATTATTCGATAGTTGTCCACTATTGGAACTATTCTAATAGTTATTCAATAGTTTTAAAAAACTATCGAATACTATTCGATGGTTTAAATATTCAAAAATGCCCATCACTACTATTAACCCACTCTGAGTAATAAAGTATTTGCAACTTAATAAATACTTATCCTAATGATGTTATCGTCGATAACTTATCGATCCATTCAAATTTTTTAAAGAAAAGGACTAAAAAATGGCTATTTAAAATGTTTAACAAAAATAAAAAACAACATTTTTAAATTTTTTTCTTATTAGTGATAAATAGGACTGGTAATTATATGAATATATACATTTTGTTTGAGTCGCTTTGATGATTTCTAAGTTTGTGCAATTTTGTTACAGAATTATAAAGTAACAAAGAAATATTTCTCCCAATAAAGAGGATCAATTCCGTTAATCTCCCTAATTTTAAAATTCCGATAATAACACATTACTAGTCAATTAATAAAAATTTGTACTGTCTGGTGATATGTTCAGAATAACTTAATAAAATTTATAAATTTATATAATTCCCAGACCTATTTTTTTTTGTGTCTGTCACTACTTTTTTTCAGCTCTTATTGAACAAATTTTTCTCAAAAATACAACAAATTATCGAAAATTGTATCTTGTTGAAGAAATTACTCTCAAAAATTAAAAAATTTCCTCCCGTAAATGGTGAAAATCCCCTAAAAATTACGACTTTTAAAATCAGTAAATCTAGACATTTTTTTCTTTTTTTCCTAAAAGTGCCAATTCTTATTGAAAAATAAATAAATCAAAATATTTTTTATTTATATGAAACCTTAAGTAATTCCCTATTATTTGATAAAATATTTTTGAAAATTTGACACTTTACTTACCCACAAGAGAGGATTTAAAATAGCAACTTTTTACAAATCTAATCATTTTCAACTTATTTTTTGAAAATGTTCCGAAAATACTGCATACTTTAAACATATGTCAAATTAATGCTCATGTTATGTACTATCAATTAAAAAAAAAAAAAATTTCCCGATGACCTATCTTTTACGTACATACGGCTTCCGTATTTAAAAAAATGCTATTTTTGTGTAAAAATTTTCGATTTTAAATTTTCAACTTTAAATTGCTATAACTTTTTGAAAAATGTATAGATCAATTATCTTATAATAAAATATATTTAATCAACTTTCATTTTATTACTTTTAAAAGTATGTTAATATTTAAAACATTATATTTTGAATTTATAATGAATAATAATATTTGAATTAATATTAATAATATTGAATTAATAATACTATATTATTATTTTAATTATCTTTGAATTTATTTGACATATAAATTTGAATTGAAAATTTATAAAACAGCAATTCCGTATCAAAAATCTTATTTTTTGATTATAAATTAACGTCATTTATACCATTTATTGGTTATATAAGCATGATAATAATTAGATAATCAAAATATCTTTCTATAATTATCAACAAGCAATCAACATTTGTATTTATTTACATTTCAAACTTTTTTTTTTAAAAAAATCATTGATCATATTAACTAAATAATAATCACAATTATCATTATATTTATCCAGATGAAAATTACAAAGGTTATTATGATCAGAACTTAAATATTATTTTATAGAATTATTTTCTCTTAGCTAGATTTTGTTTGTGTTGTCTATGCTCAAAACTGATTATTTATACAGAATTATTTACTTCCTGGTTTAAATAAACTATCCGAAATATTTATTTTCTTTAAACATTGTCCCAAAAACAGATATGCTGGTTTAAATTTATTAAAATCCTTGTGGTCAAATGTTTGGCCATTTGATATTACGTATTTAAAACACTGCAAACAACAATCCAAATATTAGTGAGCTTATATTATTACTTTATTATTATAATATTAATAATACTTTAATAATAGATAACAGATTAATAGTATTGAATGCGCATTTCTTTTATTGGCATTTTAGCTTTGATCCGAAGCTGAAAAAAGATATTGATTTTACTATAATGTGTTTTTTTTTCTGTTGCAACTTTTTCACAGCTCTCGCCGGATAGATTTCTTTGAACGATACCTTTAAATTACTCAAATGATGGTATCTAATTGAAGATATTGCCCTTTAAAAATTAAAAAAATTTCCCTCGATCCTTGTAAAATCTTGGAAATCCTCAAAAAATTATGATTTTTTAAATCGGTAAATTGCGTCTTTTTTTATACATTTTTTCCTTAAAACTTCATAAATTTTTAAAAAATAAACATACCCAATAATTTTTTTTATACCAATACTTGACGTATTTCTATTTTATATCATATAAATTTTTTGAAAATTTGACCCTTTACCTACCCACAGGAGATATTCAAATTATTAACTTTTGCTCAAAAGATTATTTGTTCAACTTAACTTATTACAAAAGTTAAGTAGAATTTGTTCAAAAATACTGTGTCCTTTAATCATATGTTAAATAAAGTTTATGTTATGCTCTATAAGTTTTAAAAAAATTATTTCCGACCTATCTGTTGTGTTAAAATTTTTTTTGGTTATTTTAAAGTACCTTAGAAGCGTTTGCCATAGTAATAATGTCACTGATTTTTATAAAAAGTACATGAATATAACTTACATTGAATATAAATTTTAACCTATCTTAGTTATTAGACTAATCTTAGTTATTTTAACTTTTGAATATTTTACCTCAATTAAGTTCAAATAAACGACATTGAATTTTGGAACTAGCTTAAATTGATCTATTTAGCTACAAATGAATGTGATGTATAGTTACCACATCGGTAACTCTACAGTCTGTCAGATTCGGGGTGAGAAGTTCGAACCCTGCCCATCGAAATGACTTTGTTTGCATTTTATTCTTAATTCTTTTTGAGGTGGAAAAAAATTCAAATATTGCTCGATTTATCTCACTTAGATTGAATAACTTCAATGATTATCAAGGACTATAGTCTCCTCTTGTGAGAAGGATATTCTTATTTATATTAAAATAGTATACATTATAGATATTACCCTCAAAAATTGAAAAAAAATTTCCCCTTTATCAAATAAAAAGTTGCTTCATAAAAATTAATCCTCCAAATTCTCCATATAGACAATTAAAATCATTAATTTATAATGTTTCTAAAGTATATATTCTATTCGAAGCTAAGAAGGTATTAATTTTACTATGGTGATTTTTTTAATTTTTTTTTTGTGTCTGTGAACGATCAATCTCAGCTCTCGCTAGACCAATTTTGATGAAAAATATGTCAAAAGATCGCAAATCGTATCTAGTCGAAGACATAATCCTCAAAATTTGAAAAAAAATTCCCTCGTTTCCCGTAATGGGGGAAATCCCCCCAAAAATTATAAATTATACGGAGATATTATAAAAATAAAAATATAGTTTAAAAAAACTAAAAAAACACGCTTTTAAAGCATATTGAACTAAAAAGTTAAAAATAATTTTTAGCTCAATGTGCTTTAAAAGCGTGTTTTTTTAGTTTTTTTAAATTATATTTAATTTTTATAATATCTCCGTAAAAATTACAATATTATTAAATATCAATTTCCTACTAAATTTAATTACTATAATTATTATGTATTCATATATTATAATTATAAATCGGGATAAAGTTATAGGAATAAGAGTTATGCTTGCTTTTGAAGTAATCTACCAATATCTTAAAAGTGAACACTATCTACAGATTTGCATCGAAGCGTTTCTAATGATAGTGATTTTAATCACTGTCAGATATCATCTTATACTTGTCCCATCTATTTTTCGTCTACACTGTGCCGCGACCCCACTGTGCTTCCATTTTTTTAAGTTTTGAACCCTCTCCTCTGTATAAAGGAAGTGGTCCGAATTATAAAAAAAGTATGTTGGATGAAAGAAGTATACATAACGTATTTATCATTAAAGAACAGAATTGATTCATGCATTTTTTATAAAGTTATAGCAATATAATGTTATAAAATGTAAAATATAATATATTATTTGCATATTTTTGCATACGATAGTCATTTTCGCCATGACAGACCAGTGGCGTAAGTGTAAAAATTTGTGGCATTAACAATAAATATCCATTTTTCAAAAAATAGTAACACCTAAATAAGAACAACCGTACTCGATGACAATCATATATTAATTTACTGAACAAATTTTCCGGAAAGCTAAATATTAGAGTTATTTTTCTTTATCTTATGAAAAATATACGGAGGAAATCTTTAAATTAATCACATATAAACCGAACTGGTACAAACATTAATCCTACAAATTTGGAAGTTAAATTTTAAGCCTTGGTTATTATTTTTTGTAGGTAAATTCATCAATGTACTATTTTAAAATAAATAAAATATTTTAAATAGGCATAATAAAAATAAGCAATTTATGTATGTCTCATAGTTTATATTAACATCATGATATAATAATACAAATAAAAAAGAATCGTGGTATGGATGTATAGCTATCATGCTGATTTTTATCATAAAAGTTTTTTATCCCTTCCCATGGCAATATCATGTGTCTGATTTATCATAACCGATCATATTCGTCAAAGAGATTTTTCACGTCTGTTACCAACAACATATTAGCTTTAAAATCCCTATTTATAATAGTTCTAAATTGAAATTAATATATACTATTGTCAATAAATAATACATTCTTAAAACTTCTAAGTATTCATTGGCAATTATAGTTAATGGCATAAATAGCGTCCAAAAATGAAATAAATTAATCAACTTGTGATATCATCGCCTAGTTACTTTAACGATATTTATTGACACAAGTCGTGTTGACAAATTTAAAAATGAAGGTCTACAATTAGTTTATACGATTCTGTATCTCGTTAATTATCATAACAATTCATAAATAGCTAATTAAAATAAATACTTAATGATTCTTACCATTATACTTAATAATTGTAATGACACGATCATCATTTTTTACTGCAAAAAAAATATATTAACATCTACTTTCAAAAATTGTATAATAGAAACAAGCATTTTTAGTTGCTCGGGAAAAACATATAATTAATTTTTTTGATTTTCAAACTATAATTGTATAAATACTATCAACATTATAAATATGAATTACGTGTCTACAAACAGTAGTTTAGCTTTTATTTAATATAACGCTAAAATCAAGATGTCATCATACATTATTTTTCTACACAAGTTATTTGAAAAATAATAAGATATACAGAGTGGTTCTTTTAACGGTAACAACTCGATTTCTCTAAAAATAATAATCATGTTAATACAATTATTTTGAGTCTTTTTTTAGTTTCATAAATTTTTTGATTAATACGTTATTGATTACTTGTTTAATTCATCCCTTATACCATATAAGGATGTGAATTTAAAATTTTTAAATGAAAATATACCTATTTATCTAGCTTTTAAAATAAAAATGACGTAATTAAAAAAGTTATTATTCGATACATCTTTTGACCCATTATTTTATAAGTTATTAAAATATTTTACAAGAGGAGAAGTATGGCTAAGAAATGTTTAAAGCTAAATATATGTGAATCGGTTTAGTCACTTTGAAAAATAACGCGTTTGATAAAAATTATAATCTAGTCTATATTTTAAAATGGTAATAATTTTTGAAATGATGAAACAAAAGTTATTATCGACCAGTCATTTTATTTATTAGATCATTATATGATAAATAAACTTTTTAAATATACAGAGTGATTTTTTTATCGTTACCCACTCAAATACTTACAGAATAAAAATAATTAAACAAATATTTTGGTTACATTTATTAGTTACATTGTATTCTTGAATCAATAAAAATGTAATACTTCATCCTTTCTGCATTGTAAGGGTGTTAAATTTGTTTTTTCAAATAATATCGCATAATAAAAATTTTATTAAATTCAAAATATGTGTTCCCATTTGAAAAAACGAATTTAACACCCTTACAATGCATATGGGATGAACATAAAAAGTATTATATTGCTATTGATTCAAGAATATAATGTAACTAAAGATAACCAAAAAAAAAATTTTAAATTAGTTTTATTAATTGTAGAACGTAGGGTTAATGTTCAAAATAACTATAACATGCAACTATGTAATAAATAATTGCAATCAACTAAATAATTGAATTATTATATTATTAAAATTAGAATTAATTACCTTAAAAATTATTCTAGCTCCTTTGTTAATATTCGTACTAATATTTTAAAATGTATTGTGATTTATATCAACATTAAATTTTTAGAAATCTCAACAACTTATTTTATATTTGTGTTTACGGGTTCAAGTATATTAATATTTTTATAGTGAAAAACGTAATAACACATTTTATAATGTAAACTTTATTGATATTTAAAAAAAATATGATTAATTGAATATGCGTAAAATTTACTTATTTTTGTAATAATTCTAACATTTTCGTAATAAATAAATATTTATTTCTAGATTAATACTGTTTTAATATCATGTGTATTTGTTCAAAAATTTATCCTAATTTCTCAATTTTATTACTGAAGTAATAAAAATATAAGCATTTTAATAAAATTAGACAATTAAATAAACTTGAGTTCAAAGTAAAAAAGAGTAAATAATTATCCGTAAGTAATCAATAATAATTTTCTGAATTCAACTTTTTTTGAAGTAATATTTTAACAAGGAAACTGCTTTTTAATACTAGTGACTAATGTCAAATAATACTAAATGTAATATTAATATTACATAAATACAATTCTGTTTGTAAATACCATACTAACAGAATTTTAATCTGTTTTGCACCAATCAGAGATTTAAAAATGTTAAAAGAAAAAACAGTTTAAACATTTTAAATTTCCAATAAGACTAATGTAAATTTTGTTGTTTTAAACGCTGCGTGTTTAAAACATCATCAATTAAACCAAAGATTAAAAAATTAGTGTATTGTTTACATTTAAAATTTCACTTATATTTCAATTCACTTTATAATATATTTAAATGTACATGAAAAATAAAAGATGCGGTTTCATTTGTTGAAAGAGTCATCAGTTCAATAATTGAATACGTTATCCCTCTCCCCACGATGGATTAACTATCAATACTACAATATCCATGGTTAAGAAACCTCCTCTTATGGGGAGGTAGCTATAAAAACGTAAATATACCACAATAGTGAAAAAAGTATGATATGGATAATTTATAAAATTCATCTTGATAGTCATGTGAACATTAATTTATTTTAGCTTCGATGCGAAGCTGAGAAGGTATTAATTTTACCATGATGTTTTTATTTATTTATTTATTTTTTTTTTTTTGTGTGTGTGTGTCACTACTTTTTCTCAGCTATCACTGGACCGATTTCTTTCAATAATACGTCAAAAGATCACAAATCGTATCTAGTTGAAGACATTACCCTTAAAAATTGAAAAATATTCCCTAGTTCCCCGCAAATGGGGGAAATATCCAAAAAAATTACAAATTTAAAAATCGGTAAATTTTGTCATTTTTTTCACTTTGTTTTCTTAAAACTTCCATAACTTTTTCAAATATTAACTAATCAAAATAATATTTCTTTATATTGAAACCTTAGATAATTTCCTTTCATTTGATATCATTTTTTTTTTGAAAATCTAACACTTATTCTGCTTATAGGGGGGATTTAAAATAGCAACTTTTTTACAAAAACTAACTTTTTCAACATAATTTTTGAAAATGTTCCGGAAATACTGCGTCCTTTAAACATATATCAAATTAAAGCTTATTTTATGTACTATAAAATGAAAAAAAAAAATTTGTCCCGACACCTTATCTTCTATGTGCAAATGGCTGTCGAAATTATAAAAAAAATGTAATATTTGCGATAAAAATCACCTTTTATAACGATGTTTTTTGTACTTAAAACTGCCATAACTTTTTCAAATATTAACTAATCAAAATAATATTTCTTTATATTGAAACCTTAGGTAATTTTCTTTCATTTGATATCATTTTTTTTTGAAAATCTAACACTTATTCTGCTCACAGGGGGGATTTAAAATAGCAACTTTTTTACAAAAACTAACTTTTTCAACTTAATTTTTGAAAATGTTCCGGAAATACTGCGTCCTTTAAACATATATCAAATTAAAGCTTATTATATGTACTATAAATTGAAAAAAAAAAATTTGTCCCGACGACCTATCTTCTATGCGCAAAAGGCTACCGTATTTAAAAATATGCTATTTTTTATTAAAATTCTAGGTTTTGTATTTTATTTTATTTTAAAATATTTTATTAGGGGAATAAACTGACTTTCATGAATATTATATAATTTCATTGACATAGAATAAAGTTCATAAGACATATGATATTATACTTATTAACATTTTTTACTTTTTTAAAGTCGAAAAAGTAATTTTTAAATTTGAGTTAGCTTAAATAGCCAATTTTTTCCCTTCACGAAAGCTACGAACAGTTGCCGAGTCGGTAACACTTGTGTTTTACATGCCTAGGATACGACGTTCAAATCCGTCTGTGGCCAATACATTTTTGCATTTTTTTTGAGTTAAAATAAAATTTTCAAATCATTTGATATTTATCTCATTTAGATTCAATAACTTCAATAAATATAAGGGATCCTATCACTATAGTCTCCCCTCGTGAGAAGAAATTGATATTCATGTTAATATTATTTTACTATGTGGTTCTTTTTCTGGCTACGATTTATTTTGCCAACCCTCACTAGACCTACTTTTTTCAACGATACGTCAAATGATTCATTTAAGTTTATGATATTTAAGTTAATGATTAGTTTAAGTTATTACTCTTAAAAATNATGATTAGTTTATGTTATTACTCTTAAAAATCAAAAAAATATTCCTTATTCAAATAAAAAGTAGCTTAACCAGCTTTTTCCATACAAATCATTAAAATCATTAATTTTTAATATTCTTAAATTATTTATTGTCGAATTAGATTTGATATCATAAAAGTATTGTAGTATAATGATTAACACATGTACTAAATATCACATATATATGAATAAAGCCATAAATCATCTAAGGAATGTTTCCCTTTTAGGGTAATAAAAATAACTATTTATCAACATATGTTTCAAACCAGTCCCCTACAATTCATTAACTACGCCCACGGCAGGGTTTCTATCACAATTAACCAATCACAAATAATTATCCAACATCTTAGGAATTTCAATAGAGATCGCTGGCTTACTTCATCCGGCGTATAAAAAGCCATTTTTTCTCGTAAAAACTCTGCTCTCTTCTTTTGGACTTCTTTTGACGATTTTCTGCGGCAGCGACTGCGACGACTACCCTCTAAATATTCTCTTACATGGAATCTGCGTCAGCATAAGTAAATATTTTGTCCCTGTGACTTAGTTTTTTTATATGTATCATCCTAAGTGGTGAACATTGTCTTAGATGATCTATTAATATTTTACACTGGAACAAGTTTTTATTTATTTTATTATCGCCTAATGTTCTCACGACAAATAGACATTATCTCTATTTTTTTTATAAAGGTTTTAAATATTATTATGCCCTTCATTTCTGGACAGCCTCAAATGTGCCGAAAAGAGTGAAGAAGAGTAATTTTATTTATACAGGTATAATAGCCTTATACATTATCGTATATTCATAATAAAGCTTATTGTGCCCTACATTTATGAACAGCCTTAAATGTGCCGAACTAAATGAAGAAGCATAATTTGTGATTAGAATTAACTAGTTTTAGTAGTAGTACTTTATGCCTGTGTACCCGCCAGCCTTAAGGGACTATGCCAATTACCTTTCGGTAACGTGTAGGCAGTTGACGTAAAGGATAGTAAAAGGTGTATTGAAATAATATTTAAAATATATTAGCGAGGTAACTGTGTCCGCGCCAGCCAAGGCTTTACGCTGAGAAACGCTGGGCCACCACAGTCTTGTTAATTATATTTTGAATATAGATAGACATATTCTTATAATTATATTTTGGCTAGTTCAGAGTAAATTTTAAGAATATCGATATCGACTGTAGGGAATTCATCGAAAATATTATTAGTAAAAACATAGTATAATATAAAAGGAATTTAAAATAAAAGAAAGTGATAAAATTATAATAGACGCAGGTCCCATTGTAGAGAATCCCCTTTTTTAAGTTTTATATACACAGAGATACTAATTTATCGAAATAAACGCAAGACAGTATAAACGACTGTTAACACTGAAAGAAGAAATCACCATAAAACCAACTCAATCAATTACTAAAGGAAATAAAGGTAAGTGCGAATATTTATTTGCATGTCTTACTTATAAAAAATCACGTAATAAACAAAAATAGGAATAAATGAGGTAGGGATATTTTATTATTTAATAAATAAATATAGTTAGACCCCGAGATACGATTTCANGTTTCTTTCTTTCGTTCTTCCTCTTCCCCCTTTTCTTTTTTTTTTGTTTATTACAGTATTCAACTACAAAAGTATATAATTTTACTTTGTAATTTATTCATTTTTAACTCTATTTGTGTGTGCTACTATCAGTCTATAATATTCCAAATTTTTTTGTAATATGATGCTATATAAATCATAAATTTAAATAAGAAATGATTTTTAGTTTCACCTGAATTTAACGATGGATTTTTACAATTATAACCAATTTTAATAATACGGTCAGAATTGAGTAAATCTTTTTAACTATTTTTTTTTTATTGGTTTTAGCTTCTATGCGAAGCTATGAAGATATTAATTTTACTATGATGTGTTTTTTTTTATTTTTAAATATTTTTTTTTTGTGTCTTAATTTATAGTCTTCATTTTTAGCCCTTTTCATGCCATTACTTTCATATTCATCATATTGGTTTCTTATATTTTGAAGGACAATTTTAAGAATTTCAATTAAATTAATTGCAGTGTACAAATCAATTACACCACTTTGAATACTTTTACTACACTTATTAAATAGTTCCAGAATATTATGCCATAATTCACACATAATGGCAGTTTCTAAATAACCGAATACTGAGCTTAAACAAGAAGCTTGGTGTCGAGTTGATTATTTTTGAAATGTATCATTTTGAATTTTTTTAACGCTTCATTATTATTCTCGTAATTTATAAATAACGCTTTAACAGCCTCAGCATTTTCACTCCATCTAGTAACTGATTTGGATTTAGGAAGTGGACAATTTTTTACCAAAGTTTTTTTTTAAATATCCCAGCGTTGGGTAGAGGCGGAAAAAAAATTGTAAACTTCTTGGACAAAACCGAAAAATGAAACTGCTTCAATACAACAATCTACAGCAGATTGTCGAACGAGATTCAGCGAATGTGCAATACACGGAATATAATCAGTAAATGAATTGCACTTTTTTATTTCTGCTTGCATACCAGTACAAGTCCCACTCATGTTGCTAGCGTTGTCATAGCTCTGCCCACGACAATTTTCTATGTTAATATCATTTTCTTTCAAAAAGTTAAGTAAACACAAAGCAAGATTTGCACCAGTATGACTTGTAACATGAATAAAAATAATGAAACGTTCTACTGGTCCATCATAATTCGTATTATACGAAGCTAAGAAAGTATTAATTTTACTATGCTGTGATTTTTTTTTATGTCTGTTACCACTTTTTCTCAGCTCTCACCAAACCGATTTCTTTCAACGATACGTCAAAAGATCATAAATCGTATTTAGTCGAAGACATTACCTTCAAAAATTGAAAAAATTTCCCTCGTTCCCCGTAAATGGGGGAAATCTCCAAAAAAATTACAAATTAAAAATCACTAATTTTCGAAATTTTTTCAATTTTTTTTACTAAAATCAGCCATAACTTTTTCAAAAATGAACATATCAATATAATTTTTTTTTATAGATGATTGATGTCTTTACCTATCATTTGGTATTTTTTTTTGGTAAATTTGACCCTTTATCTGCCCACAGGGGGGGATTTAAAATGACAACTTTTTCACAAAAAATTAACTTTTGAAAGTGTTCCAGAAATACTGACACTTTTATATATATAACTTAAATTAAAACTACCGTATTTAAAAATATGCTATTATTGTGTTAAAATTCTTGGTTTTGTATTTTATTTTATTATAAGGGGATTACACTGATTTTCATAAATATTATATCAATCTAATTGACATAGTATAANGAATATTACATCAATCTAAATGACATAGCATAAAAAATTAATCATATTTTAATTTTTTTTGTTTCTTTGAAGTCGAGAAAAATAAATGTAAAATAAAAAAAATGTTTAACTCATTTGATTTTTATCTCATTTAGATTCAATAACTTCAATAAATATCAAGGATTCCATTACTGTAGTCTCATCTCGTGAGAAGAAATTCATATTAATATTATTTTACTATGTGTTTTTTTTTTGTAGCTATCATTTATTTTCTGAACTCTCATTTGACCTACTTCTTTGACAAATTTTTTTTTTTTAATTAAACACTATCTACAGATTTACATCGAAGCGTTTTTTATGATAGTGATTTTAATCACTGTCAGATATCATCTATACTGGACCCCACTGTGCCGCCACCCCACTGTGCTGGGTTTTTATAATTATGAACACAAATTCCATAAAATTAAGGCTTAGAACATACCCAAATAGATTTATGACCATTTAAGGTCTTTAATTTTAAACTACCATATAGTTTAAATTGTGAGTTTTTTAACATACAAATTTGTATAAGATGTTGAACTTAAAAATTTTCACTTATGTTTCATTATGAACTTGTGTAAAGTCTTCTTATTTTATCAATGACCACCGAAACATCTTTAGATATTTTATTAGTTAAATTTGTATTTTTGTATTCCTTCATAATTTTAATTATAATAATTACAATTATAAATTAAAAATTATCTGATAAAAAACTTTGTTACTCGTTGTCAACGTATGTTAGCGGTACATTATTATTGTTTTAAGCAAATTTTACTTTATTTAAATTTTTATAGAATAGAGGAAAACTTTTTTTTATTAAAAATTAAAAATATTAATTAAAATCTAAAAAATATTTAACTCAGAAAGTCACAAAAAATACTGAAAAATGACATATATGTATTTCGACAACAGCATATTATCATCAGTAATAAACACATACTGACATCTCAACTTTATTTTTAGGTTATTATTGATTGATGTCTAACAGTGAATAAAATCAATATTGTAAACTTCAGTGACTACTTGAAATTGATGCAAATATTCTATTACTAATCAAAACCATTCAAATTCGGCAATTTTTACCAAAAATAGTTTTTGGACTAATAGTCTTCACTTTTAGAAATTAATTTATCGGATAGTTTATATTTTTTCATTTTAAAAAGCATTGTATTAGATTTAAATTAATGTACATTTCAAGAAGTCAGTTTTCTTAGAATATTAACCAAAAATGAAAAGAATAAAATTTTGAAATGATTTTTAAGACCCCATAGTCTTTCGGTTAATAATTGGATTTCCAAAGAAGTCAGAGATTAGCATGTTTCATGTATGAAGTATATACTCCAAAGAGTATACAAGTCGTGTACATTCCTATTACACATGAAATATTAATGATTTAATTTGTTCTTTTATTTATTAATCACACATCTCACTTTCCTGATTACCATAGGCTTTTTTTCTTCATTGGTGTGTTGTATCAAAATTATAGAAGAATTTTCTGCGATATCTAAATATGTTAACAAAATAATAATATCAAATATGTTTGATCTTATTTAGTTACTTAAGATAAATTTCATTAAAATAAACTAGTTATGGTTTAAAATTTTTAATTTTGTTTAATCCACATATTTTTCCTATATTTCATTCAATGACAAAAAAAAACAAAAAAATTATGAGCAATGGATTAATCTGAGAAATCATAAGTGCGATCATAGAAAATAACAAGTTGNGTAATCTGAGAAATCATAAGTGTGATCATAGAAAATAACAAGTTGTTTTGAGTAATAATGACATTGTAGTTGATTAGATCTAACTGTACTATATAGATGCAGCATTTCTCTGTTTAGGAACAGCATAACTAACGGTTAGGACTCTAGGTATACCTTAAAAATTTTTAAATCTATTTAAAACTCATTTAAATTAAAATAAAATTCATAATAGTGTATAATCGAAAAAAAAAATGAATTTGTTTGTTAGCTTCACTAAAAATTTATTTAAACTAATAATAAATATTTAGTAGTAGACAATACAATTTTTACATTCTTGCAGCATCTCTTCAAACACATCTATATCACTGTTATTTTGTATCAAATTTTTAGAAGAATTTTGTGTAATATCTAAAAATGTAATAAGAATTGTTTATTCAATTTCAAATTAATTTTATTATAGGAAAGTGTAAAATTGTGACGCAAAAAACCTTACATTCTTGTTGTAAATTTTCCAGCAAATCTTCTTCATTGGTATGTTGTACCAAATTTTTAGAAGAATTTTCTGCGATATCTAAAAATATAATAACAATTGTTTAGTCTATTTAAAATTAATTTTATTAAAGTAAAGTGTAAAATAGTGACGCAAAAAACCTTACATTCTTGTTGTAAATTTTCCAGCAAATCTTCTTCATTGGTATGTTGTACCAAATTTTTAGAAGAATTTTCTGCGATATCTAAAAATATAATAACAATTGTTTAGTCTATTTAAAATTAATTTTATTAAAGTAAAGTGTAAAATAGTGACGCATCAAAACCTTACACTCTTGTTGTACATTTTCCATCAAATCTTCTTCATTGGTGTGTTTTATCAAGTTTTTAGAAGAATTTTCTGCGATATCTAAATATGTTAACAAAATAATAATATCAAATATGTTTGATCTTATTTAGTTACTTAAGATAAATTTCATTAAAGTAAACTAGTTATGGTTTAAAATTTTTAATTTTGTTTAATCCACATAATTTTCCTATATTTCATTCAATGACAAAAAAAAACAAAAAAATTATGAGCAATGGAGCAATCTGAAAAATCATTAGTGTGATCATAGAAAATAACAAGTCGTTCTGAGTAATAATGACATTGTAGTTGATTAGATCTAACTGTACTATATAGATGCAGCATTTCTCTGTTTAGGAACAGCATAACTACCGGTTAGGACTCTAGGTATACCTTAAAAATTTTTAAATCTATTTAAAACTCATTTAAATTAAAATAAAATTCATAATAGTGTATAATCGAAAAAAAAAATGAATTTGTTTGTTAGCTTCACTAAAAATTTATTTAAACTAATAATAAATATTCAGTAGTAGACAATACAATTTTTACATTCTTGCAGCATCTCTTCAAAAACATCTATATCACTGTTATTTTGTATCAAATTTTTAGAAGAATTTTGTGTAATATCTAAAAATGTAATAAGAGTTGTTTATTCAATTTCAAATTAATTTTATTAAAGTAAAGTATAAAATTGTGACGCAAAAAACATTACATTCTTTTTGTAAATTTTCCATCAAATCTTCTTCATTGGTATGTTGTACCAAATTTTTAGAAGAATTTTCTGCGATATCTAAAAATATAATAACAATTGTTTAGTCTATTTAAAATTAATTTTATTAAAGTAAAGTGTAAAATAGTGACGCAAAAAACCTTACATTCTTGTTGTAAATTTTCCAGCAAATCTTCTTCATTGGTATGTTGTACCAAATTTTTAAAAGAATTTTCTGCGATATCTAAAAATATAATAACAATTGTTTCGTCTATTTAAAATTAATTTTATTAAAATAAAGTGTAAAATAGTGACTCATCAAAACCTTACATTCTTGCAGCATCTCTTCAAGCTCATCTATATCAGTGTTATTTCTTATTAAATTTATAGAAGGACTTTGTACAATATCTAAAAATATAATAACAATTGTTTAGTCTATTTAAAATTAATTTTATTAAAGTAAAGTGTAAAATAGTGACGCATAAAACCTTACATTCTTGTTGTAAATTTTCCAGCAAATCTTCTTCATTGGTATGTTGTACCAAATTTTTAGAAGAATTTTCTGCGATATCTAAAAATATAATAACAATTGTTTAGTCTATTTAAAATTAATTTTATTAAAGTAAAGTGTAAAATAGTGACGCATCAAAACCTTACACTCTTGTTGTACATTTTCCATCAAATCTTCTTCATTTGTATGTTTTATCAAGTTTTTAGAAGAATTTTCTGCGATATCTAAATATGTTAACAAAATAATAATATCAAATATGTCGGATCTTATTTAGTTACTTAAGATAAATTTCATTAAAGTAAACTAGTTATGGTTTAAAATTTTTAATTTTGTTTAATCCACATAATTTTCCCATATTCCAATCAATGACAAAAAAAAACAAAAAAATTATGAGCAATGGATTAATCTGAGAAATCATAAGTGCGATCATAGAAAATAACAAGTTGTTTTGAGTAATAATGACATTGTAGTTGATTAGATCTAATTGTACTATATAGATGCAGCATTTCTCTGTTTAGGAACAGCATAACTAATGGTTAGGACTCTAGGTATACCTTAAAAAATTTTAAATCTATTTAATGACTTTTAGTGACTATGGAATGATCGAGATTCTTTGCGACGGATAGGCAACACAAAATGCATATACGCGCGAATGTTATCGATCACTCCATAAGGAAATCTTCTAGAACTCAATGCAATATAAAACGGCGCGACGTAACAATAACGTCAATCAGTTAGTTAGCTAGTCGTCAGTTAGTCGGTTATGTAGTTAAGTACACGTAGTGCATTAATATAATTTTTATATAAATTTTCTTAGTGTTTAAACAATAAACCGTCTACATTTTTTCTGTTATATAAATTAGTGTTTTTATTTATAATCAATCAGTGAAGCACTAAAAATTGATGACCTCGACAAAGGAAAAATGGCAGACAAAACAACACCAGAAACATTAATATTTCATGTGTAATAGGAATGGCGGCTCGTGGCTTGGACGACGGGACGATCGCACCCCTCACTAAGCAAGTAACTGTCCCAGATCGATATCCTTTACCGCACATACATGATGTAAACATCCAACTTCATAACAAAACAATTTTCTCAAGACTGGACTTGGAAAAAGCTTTCAATCAAATAAAAATGGCTGAAGAAGACATTTCTAAGACCGCAATAATAACACCATTTGGCAGCTTTGAATTTTTAAAAATGCCATATGGACTAAGAAACAACACACAAACGTTCCAAAGGTTTATAAACGAAATAATCCGAGATTTACCGTTTACAGTAGCGTACATAGATGACATATTGATTTTTTCAAAATCCAAAAAGGAACATATAGAACATCTAAACACAGTACAAAAGCACTTGCCCAACATGGTATTAAAATCAACCTAGAAAAATGCAGTTGTGGACAAGAATCAATAACCTTTTTAGGACATCAAATTTCAAAAGAAGGAAACATACCTGATTCAGAAAAAGTATAAAAGAATTGCCTATACTCAATCAAATAAAAGATCTACGGCGATTTCTCGGTATGATTAACTTCTACAGACGTTTTATACCACAGCTCGCACATCACCAACTACATCTGAATGAGCTGATTCCAGATAACAAGAAAAATAATACGTGTGTCATAAATTGGACATCTGAAGCAAAAGAAGCATTTTACACATGTATAGAATTATTGGAAAAGTCAACACACTTAGCACACCCACATGAATCAGCCAAACTAACACTTACTGCAGATGCCAGTAATAGGGCAATCGGTGGAGTTATACACCAAATAATTAATAATAAATCGCTTCCACTAGGCTTTCACAGTCGCAAACTAACAACTACTGAGCAGCGATACTCGACCTATGATAGAGATCTTCTAGTCATATACGATTGTTGTAGACATTTCACTCACTTATTAGAAGGCAAGGACTTAACAATTTATACAGACCACAAACCATTAATTCATGCTTTTAAATAAAAACTAGAAGAACCATCTGAACGACAGCAACGACAACTTTCATTTATATCACAATTAACTACTAACATACAGCACATTGCGTATCAAGCAACATTACAGCAGACTACCTTTCAAGAGTCGAAAGCGTATTAAATACATCTCACCCGATAAACTTAATAGAAGAAATCGCTGACGCACAAGATACAGATTACATATTAACCGATACTAGTCTAAAAGTACAAGACATGGAAATAGAAGGTGGCTGAAAAATTAAATGCGACACAAGCACTGGTAAAATACGACCAATCGTACCACCATCAATACAAAGAAAAGTATTTTCAACTATTCATAACTTATCTCATCCTGGAATAAAAGGAACTCTTAGCCAAATTAAACCACGATTCGTATGGAAATCAATTAAAAAAAATATAACATCATGGGTAAATGCATGTGAAAAATGTCAAAAAACAAAAACATACAAACACACAATTACCCCAATCGGCAATTTTAATCCACCAAGTGGTCGTTTCGAACAAATACACATTGACATTGTTGGATCATTACCACCATCTAAAACTTATAAATACATATTGACTATGATCGATAGGTTCACAAGATGGATAGAGTCAGTGCCTATAAAAAACATAACTGCAGAAACATGTGCCACCACCCTAATTAAACACTGGATTGCAAGATTTGGAGTACCCCATAGAATAACGACAGATCAGGGTAGACAGTTCGAATCAACATTATACAAACAGTTATCAAAAACATTAGGTTTTCAAACATTGCGTTCATCATCATATCATGCACAATCAAATGGAATGGTAGAAAGAGTACATAGAACACTAGAAGCCGCTATAACATGTAAAGACAGCATCCATTGGTCGGAGGAACTACCTATGATTTTATTAGGCCTACGCACAACACTAAAAGAAGACTTGAAAGCATCCCCAGCCGAACTAGTCTATGGTCAAACGATAAGACTACCAGGAAAATTTTTTGAAGAAACAGAACAACTACCAGAACCATCTGATTTCATAAAACAACTTCAACAACAATTTTCGAAAGTAGCTCCAATAGTATATCACCACACATTATCATCAAAACGCCCTTACATACCAAAAGACCTAGAAACCTGTACTCTCGTATATCAAAGAATCGACGCTTTCTGAATTGAAGCCCAATTTAACTTATACATACAAATTACCATTTCAATTATTAAAAAGAACACCCAAGACGTTCGACCTTCTAATCAACGGTACATCCAAAACAATATCAAACGATCGACTCAAACACGCTTACATAGAAAACAAAGTAAGCTTAAATTAAACTCATTTAAATTTAAATTAATTTATAATAGTGTATAATCAAAAAAAAAAATGAATTTGATTGTTAGCTTCACTAAAATTTTATATAAACTAATAATAAATATTCTGTAGTAAATAAACAATTTTTACATTCTTGCAGCATCTCTTCAAGCTCATCTATATCATTGTTATTTTGTATCAAATTTTTAGAAGGACTTTGTACAATATCTAAAAATATAATAACAATTCTTAATCCATTAAAAATTAATTTTATTAAAGTAAAGTGTATAATAGTGACTCATCAAAATCTTACATTCTTGTTGTACATTTTCCATCAAGTCTTCTACATTGGTGTGTTGTATCAAGTTTTTAGAAGAATTTTTTGCGATATCTAAATATGTTAACAAAATAATAATATCAAATATAGATCTTATTTAGCTACTTAAATTTTTAATTCTGTTTAATCCACATAATTTTCCCATGTTCCATTCAATGATAAAAAAAAATTATGAGCAATGAAGTAATCTGAGAAATCATAAGTGTAGTCATCAAAATAACCAGTCGTTCTATATAATAATGACATTGTACTCGATTAGAACTAACTATACTATATAGAGACAGCATTTCTCTGTTTAGGAACAGCATAACCAACTGTTAGGACTCTAGGTATACCTTAACAATTTTTAAATCTATTTAAAACACATTTAAATTAAAATTAAATTTATAATAGTGTATAATCAAAAAAAAAAATGATATTGTTTGTTAACTTCACTAAAATTTTATTTAAACTACTAATAAATATTCTGTAGTGGATAATACTATTTTTACATTCTTGCAGCATCTCTTCAAATACATCAATATCATTGTTATTTGGTACCAAATTTTTAGAAGAATTTTGTGCGATATCTGAAAATATAATAACAATTGTTTAGTCAATTTAAAATTAATTTTATTAAAGTAAAGTATAAAATAGTGACGCAAAAAACCT